ATGAGTGCCTACTCTATGCCGGGTGCTGGACTTGACAGTGCGGGAGATTCAGGTTCAACATGTTTAGTTACAGCTTTGCGCTGGTATGACACTGCCGTGACTTCCAGAACATTATTTCTAAAAGCATCAGGTTGCAAAGATCTATGTGTGGCTCTAACACATTAACAAAAATTTACCTCTGAGACACCAAATGTTAAAAAAGAATATCTACCATTGAACTGATAGCAAGGCTTCTGTTCAGACATATGGCTGCCTAACCCCATCTTTAGTAAAAAACACAAGGCTAAGAATGCCTGCGGGAAAACAGAACATACTGTCCACATTGCCCAGACATGACAACATGAGCCAACAAGCCAGAACTACAGAATCTAACCCTTTAATGCTAGGCCGGGGTTACTTAGAGCCCCAGTCTCTACAGACCTTACGCTCCCCTGGGATCAGAGACAGCGAGAGACAGAAATTAAAGTATGACAGAAACTGAAAACTTCCCTCTCAGCCTTTGCATCTCCCAGGCTCCCTGGGTCCTGTCCCAAACGATGGGGTGCAGCAGGTGACAGGTATACTAATCCGGAATACCAGGTCGGTCAAAGGAAATGCAAACATTTGGGGCTGGAGAAATGGATTGGCTGATGCCAAGGGAGTGAAAGCAGGGTGGGAGAGGAGGCCAGTTCTGGGGGAGACTAACTTTACCAGCTGCTTTAGGCTAACGACATGGGGAGCTATGCGGGTCCTTTGTAGCTGCTCCCTCCCGCCTCCTAGGATTCTGCTTCTTGTCCGCTGCCCTCCCCAGCAGGTGCCTTCTTAATGTAGTTACCTCACACGTCTCTGCTTTTGCAGCCCCAGAGAATCATTACGTTCCCCAAGGCGGCCTCTGTGCCCAGGAAAATTCTGTTTTTCAGGGTGATGGGGGCTCCCATGGCTGTGTGTTTAGTTAAGCTCGGTTACACAGAACTAACTGAGATTCTGGATAATACAATTTGACTCATGCTGGGAACTGGAAATTACGGTAACTGGAAGTAAGAGCTACTGCTTTTATGAGTGGGTCCGAAATCAGCACTAACTTGCATAATGCTACATTCCTTAAATTCTCAGAGTAAATCACATCGTTTTTCTGATGTAGCCAACCACTGGTCAGCCGTCCACATACCTCTTTCCTTGGGTTCTTTTATGGTGTCCCTGCTCCTAAAAGTCCCACAGAAAAGAGAAGACTATTTACTTAGCTCCTGAAGCCCAGATCAGACTACTTGCTGTAACAGGGTGGGAAAAGTAGCCTTTACCCAAAAACAACTGGATTGCGGGGCCACCTGCTGGGGATTCCGAGCTGTGCACACTTAGGTTCAAGTGTCAGCTCCTGTACTGAATAACCATGGAATGCTGTGGTCTTCAGACTAGGATACTTGGGGTCACACGAGGACTTTTAAGGGAGGGCTCAGGGCTTTAAGGGCACCAATTTCCAGTTGCTCAAAGTCCACATGTCCTCTCTCCTAGAGCGGACTGGACTGATAACTGCTGTCCTGCTTCCTGCCTTCCTGCTCTCCTTTCAAAATGATGGTATAGACTGAACGTGCCTCCCCCACCCCAAGTTCATGTGTTGACACCTAATCCCCAAGGCGATTTGGAGGTGGGGACTTTGGGAGGTGACTAGGTCATGGAATGGGATTTGTGTCATTGTAAAGATGGCCCCACAGGGCTCTCTCACGGACACAGAGAGAAGACGGCTGTCTATAGACAACCAGGAAGCCAGGCTCTCACCAGACACCAACTCGGACAGCTCCGTGGTCTTGGACGTCCAGCCTCCACAGCTGTGAGAAGCAAATTCCTGTCATGTATAAGCCCAAACAGACCAAGCCAGTGCCAGGCATCATTCTAAGTGCTGTACATTTAGCTCAAAAAGCCCCAAATAGGAGGCACCTGGCTGGCTCCGTAGGAAGAGTGTGCCGCACTTGATCTTGGGGTGAGCCCTTTTTGGATGTAGAGATTACTTAGAAATAAAAACCTTTAAAAAAGCCTCAGATGTTCCAAACAAAGGAGCAACGCGAAATACCACAGTATATTATTATTAGAGAATGCCTCCTTAATCAAGGATGCCTGTTAGCTGCATATTATGCATTATTGCAAGAGGAAGGAGACCAGCTTCTGACAATTAACATTCTATTTCCAAGTAAAAGAGTTCCATCTCAAGAGTAAATTCTGTATTTTCTTAATATATCTTAATTCAGATCTGTAAGAGAAATGTTTCCATCAACTTTTGCCAGATGACTATTAGGTACACAGATAATATTCACTTTTACTTGGACTGAAGGCTCTCCCTTGCTCTAATTTACCAAAAGCTTCTTTGCTCTCATTACTGCTGCATAGCTATAAAATTTTGGTAAGTTTAATGGTAATGTGTTATGGATTCTACTCTAAATATCTTCTTTTTGCTGTATTTTTCACTGAACCTTGTATCATGCCAGCAATAATCTCACTTATAGACATCTAAACCAATTTTTTAAAAGCCCAATAGATATGATTAAAGGGTACATTTCCAATAAATTACTTTCAATATCTAAAAATTCTTTGTCAAATGTATACGGTTGAACTTTAAACAACATGGCTTTGAATTACATGGGTCCACTCACACGTGGATTTTTTCAAATGAATACAGTACAGTTCTGTAAATATATTTTCTCATCCTTATAATTTTAACATTTTTTCTCTAGCTTACTTTATAGAATATATGTACTTTATATATGCTTTACAGAATATAGAATATAATACATACATAAAATATGTGGTAGTCAACTGTTTATGTTATCAGTAAGGCTTCTGGTCAGTAGAAGACTGTAGTCATTGAGGATCTGGGGAGTCAAAACTTATGAATGGGTTTTTGACTGCCAGGGGGATTGGTACCCCTAATGCCTGTGTTGTTCAAGGGTTAACTGTAGTATCTTTAGGTGTTTTTTTAAAAAAGATTTTACTTATTTATTTGACAGAGAAAGAGAGGTCACAAGTAGGCAGAGAGGCAGGCAGAGAGAGGGGAGGAAGCAGGCTCCCTGCTGAGCAGAGAGCCCGATGCAGGGCTCCATCCCAGAACCCTGAGATCATAACCTGAGCCGAAGGCAGAGGCTTAACCCACTGAGCCACCCAGGCACCCTGTTTTAGGTGGTTTTAATCAATCACATAGAATAATGATTATAATGAGAATTTAATCCAGAAAAAATCTTTAGCACTTAGAGATTTTAGCTATAGAAAAGTAAACATTAATTTAAATTTCCATACATAGTCTCTTGCAGAGAAGTATGACAGAATCATCCAATAAAAGACTATCAAGTATTAACATGTTACAATTTGATGGTTAATTTGAAAAACCCAAGAAATAACAAGCACTGGTGAGAATGTGTAGAAAAAGAAAACTGTGTGCACTATTGGTGGGAGTGCAAATGGGTGCAACATTGGTAAAAAAAAAAGTGGTTAAAAAATTGGTGACATTGGTAAATTGGTGCAACTTTGAAAGCAGTATAGAGGTTCCTCAAAATATGAAAAATAGAAGTGCCATACAATCCAGGAATTACCTTCTCGGTATTTACCCGAAGAAAACGAAAACACTAATTCGAAGATATCTGTGCACCCCTTTATTTACTGCAGCATTATTTACAATAACTAAGATACGGGAGTAACCCGTGTCCATTGATAGATGAATGGATAAAGAAGTTGTGAGATATATACACAAGGGCTATTACCCAGCTATAAAAAAAAAAACAACTATAACATCTCTCCACTCACAATAAACTGCATGATCTAGAGGGTCTTATGCTAAGGCAAAAACCTTATAATTTCAACTTTACATAGAATCCAAAAAACAACAAAAGAGAAACAGGCTTGCAAACGTAGACAACAAAATAGCAGTTACCAGAGGGGAAGTTGTGGGAGCAGAGCAAATTAGGTGATGGGGATTAAGAGCTACAAACTTCCAGGAATACTGTAGCAACTTTGGTGACAGATGGTAATTACACTCACTGTGGTGGGCACTTCCTAATGGCTATGATTGTTAAATAACGGTGGTGTCCCTGAAACTAATACATTATATGTCAACTCCACTTCAAGTAAAATAAAAAAAAAAAAACACAGAAAGACAAGAAAAAAGTTAAAAATGAATCATAGATTATTTAATATAGATAAATTTCCCGCCTTAAAAGCTCTTCGTACAGTTCGACTTGACGGGGGGGTGGGGTGGGGGGTAGAATTGGAACGTCATAGTATATGATAACATTGTGATATATATGATCATAATATTCCTTCATTTCTCGAACTTAATCAAAAAAAGAGTTACAATTTGACAACCTGAGAGGGATACAGATGGAAAACTTACGGAAGGGTCATTTTATTTTAAAGTATTTACAGCAACTATTAAACTTGCCATTAAGAAAAAAGGACGGCATGTGGGAGAGGTGCAGGTTTTGCAAACTCTTCGAGGCCTCCTCTAACGAGATGTCCACCACCCCCGGGTCCCGCGGAGAAAACACAAGCAAAAATAAGCGGTGGGTCTTCTTCCGTCATCACCTCCCGGGACCGCAGGGTTTAAATCCTGCTCCCTCAGAAAGGGGGTTGGAGCGGCCCAGCGAGTTGGGCCGCGGCAGGTAGCACCGCCCGGGACCAGCCCGAGAGGCCCGAGGGTGGGGCGTGGACCCCCTCCTGGGACCTCAGGACCTCACGGTCCACCAACCCGAACCCCGCCCGGCAGAACCGGGCGAGAAGAAAGAAGCGGTCTGGGGTGGTGGAGTGGGGCAGGGTGGGGTTCCGGCCTGGGGTTCCGGCCTGGCAAACCCGCCCTCCGCCGGACTCTGCGGGACAGGGCGGGGCGGGGAGTCGCCGGCTCTCCAAGAAGCCCGGTGATTGGTGAAACGGGCGGGGCGGGGCGACGTGGGGCGGGGCGAGGCCCATTCTGCAGATGAGGCCTGGGATTGGTGGGCAGGGCGGGACGCCCCGCCAGCCCTCCGAGCGAGGCCGGGGATTGGTGGGCGGGGCAGCGGGAGGCGGGTCCGCGCCAGGGGCGTGACCGGGCACGTGGTGCGGAACCGGCGCGGCGGCCGCTGTGGTGAGGGGCTTCCGCGGGCAGAGTCGGGCGGCACCGGGCGAGCTCGGGTGGGGCTGGGGCAGGTGGGTCGCAGGCGACGGCGGGAGTCGCGCCTCGGCTTGTGGGAGCGGGGCCGCGGCCTGGCCCGCCGCGCGTTCCGCGGGGCCAGCAGGGACGGGAAGGGCGGGCGTCCCCGTTGGAAGAAGGCCTTCCCGGGGGTCCGGGTCGCTGCGGGCTGCCAGCGCGGGAAGGGCGCGCAGAGGCGTCAGCTGCTGGCCCCAGACGAGCCCCGTAGGGTACCAGAGCCCTTCCGCGCCTGGCGGAGGCCCGGGGTCGGGGGTCGCTGGGGCCCGCCGGCGTTTGAGGCCGGGAGGTTGCAGCGTTCGGGCTGGGGGCGGCTCGCTCGGTCGTGTCCTCAGCGGCTTCCTCGTCTGGAAGATGGAGCTGGTCCTGCCCCCGGGCGGGGCCCCTGCCAGCCCCCCCCCGGGTGGGGACGGTCTTCCTCGCGCCTACGCGGTGTCGCCAGCTGCCCCTCCCGCGTGCAGGGACGAGTGGCGAAGGAGGGTTTGTACGCATGTTTGGGATCAAGCCCCGGAGTGGGCGCGTTGGAGGTTCCTGCCCCGGTTTCACTGGCTTCTGTGGGTTCAAAGCCAGGATTCGTGCGTCTCTTTACTCCATGATGTGCCCTGAATTCCCGAGGGATAAGGACGGGGACGCTCAGAGCGAAGTCAGTCGTAGGCATCCCTAGAGGGGCCCAGGTGCTGCCAGTCTCATTTGGCCTTGCCTCTCCCTGGCCTCATCATTTATGTAATGTCACCCCCGCCCCCAGGACATTTCAGAGCTCCTGGCATTTATTTTGGAAGCATAATGTGTGCTCTTGTTCACTCCCGCGCATCGCTTTTACCTTCATCGAAGGGATTCACGGGGGAGGGACGGGGCGGGGGGAGAGCAATGAAAGTGGCCCCATGTCGTGGGCTGGGGACTGGATGGGGAGGAGTGGCGGGTTGAGTCAGGAACAACCCAGACTTGAGTGGGAGGGCGACACTGGCCCTGGCTTGACCTCCTTTGACTAGGTTACTAATTCCGAGAAGGAGTTACTTTTTAGCCAGCCCTGGGGACTTGGCATGGAGAGCGGAGCAGGCCGGTCTCTGTTTAGTCTTTGGGTTAAGTGCAGCTTGGGTAGTTATATATTGGGGTGAACCAATGGAAGGCCATTAGTTAATTTTTCTTTTCTTTTTTTTAAAGATTGTGTTTGTCAGAGAGAGAGCACAAGCAGGGGAAGTGGCAGGCAGAGGGAGAAGCAGGCTCCCCACTGAGCAAGGAGCCCAGTGTGGGACTCGATCGCAGCATCCTGGGATCCTGACCTGAGCGGAAGGCAGATGCCTCATGGACTAAGGCACCCAGGCGTCCTGCCCTTGGTTAATTTGGCTGCACTAATGAGAGTGTGCTCAGTGAGCTTGGGATTTGGGCTATATCATGACCAGGGACCTGAAGGAAAAGTGCCCAGCGTGGCGAGTTGTCATAGATAGCTTCTTTGTTTGCATTATCGGTGACAGATTAGAATTTGACTTACTAGTGCTCATGAAATGCCTCTCCAGCATTGTGGACTGTCTTGTCTTTCAGATAAAAGCCTCAGCTGAAGCAGGCTAGGCTGGCTAGGAGGTTTGTAAATATTTTATGCCCAGTGGTGGTGGTTTGGAGAAGAGGAAGGAGGCTCTGAGAACCGGGTGGTTTGCCCTGCCCTTACCGAAGTCCTGCTACACAGGGATGGCACGGATTGAGGGTAACTTCCTTAATCCGCTCAACAGCTGGCAGGCCTGATGTCACTACACAGTCACGTCTCTGCTGAGCAATCACTTTGGAACCCATACCCAGAAAAAAGTACTCTGTGTCTACAGTGTGTCCATCCCCAGGCCTTAGAACTACCTAGATATTGTAGGATCTTGGGACTACAGCTGCATTTCCGACATCCTTGGTATCACTGTGGTTTGGCCAAGCTCTTCCCATGGCTGCTTTGGGCCAGTCTTGCCACTTGATGGAATTTGAAATGTCAGTCGGAGGGTGGAGACAATTTTGGAAGTCCCCAAACCAGGATCCTTTTTGTTTCCTATACATTCCCATTTTAAAGATGACTAGTGCGATGATTTCCTTTCCCCTGTATTTGCAAGGTGGAGCAGAGTGTATTGGGTCCCACACGGGATAGCAAATGCACCCTGAGGGGGGCTGTGGTTTCCACAGACGTTCCTTTATCTTAATCAGGCCTTTGTGGGGGTGTGACATGTTGCCTTTGACCATTGGGCTCAGATTATCAACTTTTAAAACAATTTATCTACCTCTCCTTGGGTCTTGTTTGCTGTTTTGTGGATTTGTGACAGTAGCAGGATGTGACACTTTTGCTGGCATCCTTGGAGTGATTATTTCCTCCGTGGTAATAGTAAATGGGAAGTTTTCTGTGTGCTTTCCAAAAAATTTGAGTGCTGGTAAGTCAGTGTTACCAGGAACTACCTGCTTCTAATTTTCATCAGATGGTCTTCAGCTCAGACCCTTTCTTTGGCTTTGTGCCATTTTGACACATAATTTTGTGCACATTTTCCTTCTGAGAAAAGAGAAGGAGATCACTGTGAGACCCTAAGTGCTTCCCCAAGCTTCTCTGCTCACTTCCTGGAGTCCTCGTGATGGCCTCGAGGGCGGGGCAGCTCTCTATCAGTTTAAATAGGAAGCCTCTGGACTGCCGCTCAGTCAGGCCATCCGCTGGCGGTACTGACGGGTGGTTTTTCCTTCCAGGAGCCTTCAAGGTGTGCGATCTGGTTGAAAGATGTCTGCCCTCACTACCCTGTTTAAATATGTCGATCAAAATCAGGATCGCTACATTAAGGTAAGGGAATGTTTATTGTAGTAAACGTTAAAATTAGGTTTAATCCAGCAGGGTTCAGAGGAACTTTCAAGAAACTAGTCGGAGCTGTGCCATTTAAATTAAGTATTAAAAATACTGTCTAGACAGAGTGAGACAAATACTGCATGATCTCACTTATATGTGGAATCTTGAAAAGTTGAAGGTTCAGAAGCAGGAAGTGGAATAATGGCTACTGGGGCCTGGCGGAAAGGGGGAGAGGTCAGTCAAAGGCTTCAGTTATGAGTAAGTTCTAGGGATTGACTGTAACAGCCTGGTGACTGTAGTTCATAGTACTGTGTTACACACTTAGAGTTCGCTGAGAGAGTGGCTCTTACAGCTCTCTCACCACACAAAAGAAATGGTAACCGGAAAGTGTATGTGTATTAGCTAGAGGTCTTCTCCTCAGCCTCATCGTAATAGTATGCAAGTTATACTTTTAGCTTTTGACAAAAAATATATTTTTCCAGAAATAGTAGAGCTAATGAGAGATTTTTATTTAATCTGCATGTACAATTTCTTGTGGTACATAGAGACGAAAGAAATTTAACTTTCTTTTTGCATTTCATCTGTTTTAAATGATTTGGTAATGTTGTAAATTAAATCTGTTTCTTGACATTAAAGAACTGTGCTTTAAAGTTATTCTTGGAAGACATTTCAGATGAAATCTTGACTCAGTCTAATAATTATACTGCAAAGAACTTGGCCATAGTGAGCATGAATAACTAACTTAGACTGTGAAAATGTTGGATATTTTCTCTATGTTGTAGTTGTAATTTTGTTAGATTCAGTTATAAACTTATTTATGGAACTTTGTACATTTCACATTCATCTCATGCTTAATGGTTAAAAACACACAATGTGACATTTTTCTGTTATGCTGTAGTTCTTGATATAGCCAGGTTTTTTTAAATGTTAAACAAAAAACAAATGTGATCGCTCTTTTCTTCGACATCTAGCCATCATGTTAAAAATGGACTGGTTGCAGGCAGCAAATTTGTGAATACCTTTCTTCCTTAATGGAGCACCTTTCCAGAATCCCATTTTGCTTATTTTCCACAAACAGAAACTCGCAGAATGGGTAGCCATCCAGAGTGTATCTGCATGGCCCGAGAAGAGAGGCGAAATCAGGAAGATGCTGGAAGTTGCTGCCGCAGATATCAAGCAGTTGGGTGGCTCAGTGGAATTGGTAGATATTGGAAAGCAGAAGGTATGGCACTGGTGCTCTGGGAAGTACAGAACCACAATTAGCAGACCTACCTAAGGACCCAGCACATTCTTTTTTTTTTTTTCCTTTTTATTTTATTTTTTTCCTTTTTATTTATTTGAGAGAGAGAGGGCACATGTGAACTGGGGAAGGGGCAGAGGGAGAGGGAGAGACAGTCTCAAGCAGACTCCATTTTGAATGCAGAGCCCAACATGGGGCTCGATCTCACAACCCTGAGATCATGACCGGAGCTGAAATTAAGAGTCGGACGCTCAGTCAGCTGGGCCACCCAGGCATGTAGGACTCAGCATGTTCTTAAACCATCTTTTGCTTCAGATAATCTGCTTGTCTTTAAAACAAATAAAAAAGTCCTGATTGGAATACTGAACTGTATAATTTTCTCAGCTGGATGGGGGCAAAGCTTTTGTAATACTCAGGGTTTTTCTTCAAGTGTTGAGGTTACTCAGAAGTAAGTTAATGTCGGGGTACCTGGGTGGCTCAGTGGGTTAAGCGTCTGACTTTTGATCTCAGCTCAGGTCTTGATCTCCGGGTTGTGAGTTCAAGCCCCGAGTTGGGTTCCATGCTGGGTGTGAAGCCTACTTTAAAAAAAAAAAAATAGAAGAAGTAATGTCATGGTCACTCTTTGAAAATCACTGAGATTGCCCCCTAGAAAGCCGTGTGCATTCAAACTAGGAAGTTGTACACTGTCTGTGTAGGTGTAAAAGGGATAAAGACCCCTACTCACTGTGCTGTGCCCCCTGTATCCCAGCTGGTAGAAACAGCACTTTTATATGAGTTCGTTCCTGAAAAAGAGCTACTGGGCCCAGGGGCCCAGCTGCATTTTACTGTAGGATTCTGACTGGTGACATTGGTTCATTTTCTTCCTGACATGAATGAACCATCTCACTAATGGTATATTATTTCACTTTTTTAGTTTCAGATGATTTTAAGTCCCACACTATGGCATGTGTCATGTCATGTATTTTCCAAGTTTGTAATATTCTTTTATATTACAGGGGGTGACAGGGTTTGGCTTATTTCGATTCTCTTGCCTGGTGACAGAAGTGTCCGCTGGTATTATAGTCTTGGGGTTTTATGTGTGGACATTCAGTGGCATCTGGTGTTTTCATAAAGAGAAGAACCCAGAGGCCCAGGTGGGCTGTGTCTCCACTGGGCACCCACAATCAGTTGATGGTGAAGGAGATTCAAACATGGGTCTCCTGATTCCCACTCAGTATTGTATGTATGAGATTTCATTTGGCCAGAAATGTAATAATTGACCTAAGATACACTGTATCTTCCTGGCACTTTTCCCCACTTGATATTTTCTTGAGAAGCATAACTGATTTGCTCCCCTTCCCTTTTTTCCTAATATGGTAAAAAAACAACAAAACAAAAATCTAGGTGGCAAACAATTTACAAGAGTGTTTCATTACAATAGATTTATTCTATTTAACACGGACACTGCAGTGCATTTCTTCAGAAAGAGCCTTCCACAAAAGATAAATGACCCCAGCCCTCCCAAATTACGTAAGACCTATTCTTATCAAGGAATTGACTGATTTCGTCACCGTAAGATCTAGTCTTATCAAGAATTGACTGATTTCGTCACTGTTAGAAAAGTTCTGCAGAGATCCTTGTAGTGTAAGGTGACAGCCTTTGGAGCTTCTCTTGTCATCACTTTATGTCACAGCAGTGACCCATGTTTTAGGAAGCCGTGATGACTTGGGGCAGGTGTGGAGGTGGAGTTGGGTGTCATCACGGGTACATGCAGAAGTCAAGGCATCCTCAGGCTTCTGGGGGAACAGTGACATTTGGAGCTCAGGTCTTAGTGCCTGAGCTCCTCAGAGCCTGGGCCCCTGGTGGGCAAGGCTTGAAGGCGGGCATGGACAGTGGGGAAGGCTGCTGGCGGGCTCTTTGGTATCGGGCCCACTGCCTAGGCTGCTGCAGATAACATCAAGTCGGGCCTGTCTGCTGCCCAGGCAGGAGGATGGAAAGGGCGCGTGGCCAGGACATGTGGGGGGACCTGGTCACTGGGGGCCTGACCTCCAGACAGAAGTGCTGAGGAAATGGACAGTTGTGGCTAGTGAGCAAGCAGTGAGGTGAGGGAAGAAGTGAACCAAGTGTAGAGGATGGACTCGGGCCCATCGGGCGCCAGGGCCGTGAGTGTAGGGCTGAGAACTGGAGCAGGGAGGTGGCCGTAGGGATGGGGCAGAAGCGGAGAGACATGTGGAATCCTTGTCAAAGACATTTGCCCAGACAGGTCCTCCAGGAGAGTGGTACCCTTACGTGGTAGCCCATAAGCATGTGACTGTGTTTCTAGCCAGACTTCCTTCTTCCCTGTTGAAAGTAGTTAGGGATGTCCGGGCAGAGATTTGCAATTTGCAGTGTGAATTTCAGCACAAATTTATCTGTGGGCCCAATTGGCATCTCAGAAAAATGGTAAGGTATTTCAGTATTTTAGCTGTATTGAGTAGAAATTTATTTAGAGAAAATCAGTCATTTAAAAATCATGATTCTCCTGAGGCCAGTGGCAGCCATAGTGCCACATGTCTCGTGTGACCAGGGTCGTGAGTCTAAGGAACTATTCTTTGCCCCTGAGGGCTGGGGCTCTCCTCTGGGAAGCAGTGCGTGAACCCAGCTCTGGGAGTGCTTCACGTGGGTCGAGGGGGGGCGGCGACCTTGAGTCAGTCCTAGGGCGGCACCATTGCTGTGGCTTACCAAGAGTTACTGAGGTGAGTGTTTCCAAGTGCAGTTCACTGGAAAGACAGATCCTGCAGGAATCCTGGCAGCCTGCACGCTACCTAGAGCACCTGTCCACTTAGTGCTCTGACTGATACCCTGATACCCTGCCCCCCCAGCACCCCTGATCTTAGGGGCTTATGGGAGACTGGTTCAGTGTGAGGAGGGAGCTCCTGGCTCTCACTGCTGGTTTTACTGTGGCTTGCTACAAATTCTGTTCTCTTCTGTCCCGGTCTGCATCCTTTTCTGTGCACAATTGTGATCCACATGCAGAATTTCAAATGTGTAGCTCCTGCTTTAAGAAGATGGTAGTAGTTTTCATCCATTATTTAAAAAATAATGAGCAAAGTTGTATCCCAAACTTAGTCTTCATAATATGCTTTCTTAGTGTAAACGTTAAAAAAAAAAAATCAGCTTTTAAAAATTTACCAAACTGCCTACAGTTGGTGAACATTATACAGTCTAAGTGCTCTGGATTATGGGGAAGATTCCTTCTTCTTGTCCATTACTGATGCAGTGGAACACTGTGTTCTTGAACTCTACGATATAGGCTGATTGATAAGAACACATAAAATGGTCCAGATACTTTAATAATATCTACTATAAGCACCCAGTTTTTTTAAACAAAGTCTGTCCTCAATTTCTTCCTTCTCGACTCTTAGCTCCCTGACGGCTCTGAGATTCCGCTCCCTCCCATTTTACTTGGCAAGCTGGGCTCAAACCCGCAGAAGAAAACCGTGTGTATTTACGGACACCTGGACGTGCAGCCGGCAGCCCTGGAGGATGGCTGGGACAGCGAGCCCTTCACCTTGGTGGAACGCGACGGTAAGGGATACTTTCCTCTGGAGAAGCCTTCCTGCTCTTCTACCTGAGGGGGTGCACTGGCTGGGGACGTAATGATCACTCGGGAATGGTCCTCGAGCCCTGACTGGGCCACACACCCACGGGCACTTGAGACTGTCTGTCTAGGACCCACTCCAGGCTGCCCTCCCTTCTTCCTGACCCCTCTGGTATGGAGCCTCTTCCTGCCTTCATTCCTGAATCTCCACGTCTCTGTACCTGTCTTTGGCCAGATGAGGAAGCCCCTTCACTTGTGTGTCGCCCCCTTGGGCTAAGTCTAGACTGTCTGTAATCCAAGCCCTTTTAACTGGATGCGCTGGGTTTCTGTCCAAACCTTTCCCTGGCTCAGGGTCAGCTGTGTCCGTTACCATGCACGGTCGAGGAAACTTGTCTCTCGCAGCAACGTCACTGAGGGAATTCGGTTCCACGCCACAGTCGGATCACAGCGTGGTCGCTGACTTCCCAGTAGGCCCCCGCTGAGCGTTAGTCCCACACATCCACGGCTGTTCCCCTTGCCACTGTCTGGAATGGGATTCTTTGTCTCTGCTCTCCGGCCTGCCCTTCATCCTTGTTCCCTGTCCCCCGCCTCCACACGGTCCCCCCACCTCCCTTGCCCGTCCACAAACCTGGAGGTCACCCTCGCCCCCACTATGCTCCTATGGGCCTGCAGTCCCCGTGGGGCTCCTCTCCAGCCAACACACGCCGCTTACAGAGAGCTCGCCTGTTGCTTGTTGAAGTTGCGAGTCCTCCTCCCCTCTTTTCCCTGCTACGTGAGGACCTCAGTGCCATGTGTCTCTCCCTGACACCTCTCGGGAGACTCAGCGGGGTTCCTCTGTCCCTCCCACGCGTCTCTCCTCAGCACTGCTCTGGCAACTGTGCCAGCTGACCCCGGCTTCGGCACCAGCACTGCTTACCCACTGTCCTGGGAGGCCTCCCACTCCCTCCTTCCCAAATCTGACAGACAGGCACCTGCGGTAGGTTCTCAGGCGTGGATGAAGCTGGGGTTACACCTCGTCCCACAGATAAGTTTCCTTGTGGTCAGCTGGTGGCACACCGTCCTTCTCCTTGTCAGGGGGGCCTGGGAGGGAGGGAGCACAACGCCTTGGGCACCTCTGTCCCGCACAGTTTCGGAATGTTGGAGTGAGTGATTCAGTCAGTGCTTATCACAGGAGCAAGGATGCTTTTTAGGAGAATTCTGTAGCTTTTGTGAGAAGTGGGTTTAGTTTATAGAAAGAAATTCCCAAAGTGGCGATGGTTGGAAGCGTCCTGCTGCTTCAGGGTGGTCTTGCTGCAACTGTCAAATACTAAAAACACGTTGGAAATGAGCAAGTCCGAGGCCTGGCCGTTACAGACCTGGCCAGAGAGGGACTGAGCCCTGAGCACGCCTTGGCCCGAGTGCTGTCCTTCCTCCGGCCTGGTGCCCCTCTGATGAGCTTATGCATCATAGGACAGGGTGGGGAGCAGGGTCTGGACTCAACGGCCCAGTGACCTTTGTGGTGGCCAGTGCCCACCAGCCTTTGTTAGGGGTCCCAGGAGTGGGTGTGCAGGGGGGGGGGGGGGTCCTGAGACTAACGACATGGAGGAAAAGCAATAGCGAACGTGTCCTTTGGTTTTCAAAGGGATAACATGGAGAAGTAAATAATGAATCTATTCTTCTCCTTACCAAATTAGGTGTCACAATTGGGGATATGTGAGATTTCTAGTTCTCTCTTGATGATGGTGCATTGTGGGTCCTACATATGACTAGGTTGCCTACCTTTATCTGCTACCAGCTGGTGGAGGAGGTAGATTGGAAGGAATGAGTCGGCTGGCACTGCCCCATGGAGCAGTCTCCGCAGTCTCCGGCCTGGGTCGGCAGGGACAGGAGCGCTGGCTGACTGCGGTGTCTGCTGGCAGGAGGGGAGGGGAGCTGGGAGCAGCCACGGGTTTGCTCTTAGTGATTATGGGGAGTTCTCTGGCAGAGTCTCACAGCACTGGAGGAGTGGGACTCGGGACTCTGACAGAATGAAAACGGGGCTTCCGCTTGGAAGAGGGGTTCTCGGGCCAGCTGCCTGTAGGGGCACTGACACGCTGTCAGCTATGCACCAGCAACACGCTTTCTTGTCTGTTTCCTTGGGATTGTAACTGGGCTTGCTGATTGCTGTTCCAGGCAGATTGTATGGGAGAGGCGCAACCGATGATAAGGGGCCAGTGGCCGGCTGGCTGAACGCCCTGGAAGCCTTCCAGAAGACAAATCAGGTACTTGATCTCCTCTAACTGCCTTGCTCCCGCAGAGCGGTACAAAGCAGGGCTGTGTGTTCCCCGAACAGCCAGCAAAGATCAAAGATCCCCAGGATATGAGAAGGCAAGGTCCCCCAAAACCGTATCAGCATAGTGGGATCAGAGGCAAGATTGTAGGTTTGTTTTCCAGCGTTAGGAATTGTAATTGTTTTATAGTTGCCCGTAGGTCATAGTACTGCTGACTCAGCGGGAGCCCAGAAGCACCTGAAATTCGAGTTTTCAGCCGCAGGCACTGCCGCTGAGATGCCTCACCCAGAGGCTAAGTCGTGGGTCGTGTGGGAGTGGGCAACCCCTAGCTTTCTCAGGGTGGTTTTTATCCTCCTGAAAAATTCTTATTTTTTAAGATACATTTCCTTAACTGAAATACCTGCCCCTGTCTAAAGTTTGTAAAATAGAAAAGTCGGGAGGAACAGGGCGCCCAGACTTCTAGCTGTCAGAGGCTTTGTATTTTGTTACTTACTGATCTTTTCAACTGTCTTTAACCTGCTCCTCACTGTTGTGTAGACCGTTTTTGCATCGTGCTTTATCTTGTACTGTGATAAAATAAGAATAACAAGACAAGCATTCTTGCCAAAGGGTGAGTGGTGGGTCTGCAGAGGGCCTGGGACTCTCTGGTCCACGGTGTCATTTTGCAAGGAGGGAGCATAGGCTCAGAACCTCCAGCTGACTGGGCTCAGAGACCGTGAAGGCTTCCCCTTCTCCAGGGCCCCCTGGGATCTGGGGGTGACTGAGAGGAGGGTGGCTGTGTGCAGGGCAGAGACGCCAGAGCCCTTCACTTATGCCCCTCCACGTGCCAGGTCCCAGGAAAGATTGTGCTCGGGAGGCAGAAGCAGGGGCCACCTAGGTGGAGCAGAGGGCTGTCTGGGGGCAGTTCTGAACAAGGACCCCAGGGATTTGTGTCCACGTGGGGGCTCTGCCATTTTGTAGCCTATGTGATCTTCTGCAAGTCACCATGCTTGGGTGCCCCTCCGTGCGCTCCTCTGTGGAGGGGCCACCTCCCTGCATGGCACTGGGGAGCCTGGGAGACAGCAGGAGCCAGGCGGGGTGGCGGCTCGCGCTTTCCGTGGGCTCTGTGGGAGAAGGGCCTTTGGCACGTGGAAGGTGGGGGGTCGTGGTGCGGGGCGCCCAGGCATGGGAGCAGGTGCCCTCTCGCTCTGGCGTGCGGGGGTGGTGGCCAGTCCCTGCCAAACTGTGTTGTGGCCTGTGGTGTGGAGAGAGTCACTCGGGCTTCCCTGGAGACTCCTGATTGGTGCTGGGGCGCGCAGTGGTCCCTGCAGGTAGGAAGTGTGGTCACACTGACATCCTTGGCAGGAGTCCGCAGTGTGGGTGTGGCTGCGGCCGGCTCTACGCATGTGCCTGGACCGCCCAGCACGTGAGGACTGAGGGTCACCACAGGGCGCACACAGCCCACCCGATGGGTCTGGAGGAAGTTGAGTGAGATTTGTGATTGCAAAGCATCTGGTGGCTTCCTGTGTGTGGTGCCTAAGAAAGAAAAGCGTGTGAGAACTGAAGGCCGCCTGACACTCATTTCCCTCCTGCAGGAAATCCCAGTCAACGTCCGGTTCTGTCTGGAAGGCATGGAGGAGTCGGGCTCCGAAGGCTTGGATGACCTGATTTTTTCCCGGAAAGACACGTTCTTCAAAGACGTGGACTACGTCTGCATTTCTGACAACTACTGGCTGGGGAAGAAGAAGCCCTGCATCACCTACGGGCTCAGGGGCATTTGCTACTTTTTCATCGAGGTAGCGTGTTGAGTTCTCCATGTTCTGTGGTGTCTCTTCCCCGCCCGCAGTCTCCCTTGTCCTTCCGTAGCAGGAGGGGGCCCCGCATGTGATGGAGAATCCTGGAGCCTTCTCCGTGGGCCGGGTCTTCATGTGACTCCCCTTCTGGATTATCCAGCCAGAGTCCGTTCCGTGCCACCTCGAGCTGCCGGGTGTTTGGAGAATTGTCTTGGAGCCGTTGAGGAAAGATAAGCTGCTGTAGCCATTTAAGAGCTGACTTGAACAAACATGGCAGGAAGACATACTGTTAAAGACTAGGGTGTTCACCTTTCAGCCCTTAGTTCTGCCTAGACCAGAGATCTCGAGGGGACCGCGTGGCTGTGCTTGACGCAGAAGCCGGGCGCAGGGGCAACACGGGAGGGCTGGGCTCAGCTGAGCCTGCGTCCCTTCCACAGGCCAGGTCCAGCACACTGGGTGGATTGGTTCCTGTGAGGGAGTATTTGGAAGCTGAAAATGCCAGCGTCATCGTCACTGCTGCCCTGAGCCCTTCATCTCTCTACAAACAGTCTGACACAAGAGCCCAGGGGCTGTGGTCAGTCACTCCCACTTTGCCGTTTCACAGGTGTGGAGACTCAGGCCTGGCGAGGCCGCAAACCCGATGCTGGTCACAGGCTAGTGAGGCGGGGTAGGCAGCGGGTGCTGGCCCCAGGTCCTCAGGCTCAAGGTCCTTACGGGCCGCCTTTCATGGTGCGCGTCCTCTTTCAGCAGAAGAGCGCAAGGTCTCTGAAGCCGTGTGTGTGCACCTGTGGTCAGCATCCCCGCTTTCCCCCGGTCAGCGTTCCCGAAAGAGTATTTCTTTTGTTGCTGCCGAAGTTTTGTAATTTAGGAAATGCCTTGCTTTGTTCCTTGAGGGAACAGATTTTGATTTTGAGGATTGTCAGATCTCGTGAATGTTCTTTGTTCTCCGTGCTGTCACGTGGCCAGGCTGAGTTCTCGCCGAGCGGCTGACGGAGGTCTCTCTGTGTCCATCCAGGTGGAGTGCAGTGACAAAGACCTGCATTCAGGCGTGTACGGGGGCTCGGTGCATGAGGCCATGACAGATCTCATCACATTGATGGGTAAGCACGGGTTCCACTCACTGCCCGGTGACTTGGGAGAGAAGCTAGAGTGGCCTTGTTTCAGGCTGTCCTCAGCATTTGGCGCTGTCACCATTCTCTGTGGACTGCTTTTGTCTCTTTCCCTGTTGCTACTTCTTTCCATTCACCTTTCCCTTTGAAAGGAGAAGAAGCTTCATTTCTGCCTCTGTCTCCCTGGACCCCTCCGTGTGTCACTAAACCTTGCCTTACCTCAGGGACCCAACCCGGGCAGTCCCTGGCTCCGTCATCGCTGTCTGAGCGGGCCTCTAGGATCACAGGACACAGTTGTATTTTCCGTCCCTTGGAGGGCACCTTCCCCGGTCTGTTTGGCGCCCCAGCGAGGGCCCCCTCTGCTCCGCCCTATGGGAGGGAGGCCCAGCCCCGTCCTCCCTGCATCCTGCTGGTCAAGGCTGATGAAACTTTGCCTCACCCCAGGATTAGCCTAAGCTCTGTCCCCTCATGTCTTGGATAACGGCCACCATACGTGCAGCCTGTTGTTCCTAGCGTGGGAGCCCATTCTGCTCTGTTCATCTCAGACTCCTTCGTTTGGGAGCTGCTAGTTTCTTATGCAACCTGGATTAAAAAAGAACTCTGGATCAGTGTAGTGGCTTTTACAGGAAGCCTGCCAGAGGCAGCCTGCTTGGTCTGTCTCCTGGTCCGTGTCAGGGGACAGGTCACCCCCCCTTCTGTATCTCTGTGTTACAGTGGGGAGATGCTACTGCTCCCCTCACTGGGTCGTTTACACATTTAACTGATTGTTCCTAGGCAGGGCTTGAGGGCTCTGCCAGGAACTGTAACTGCTGGGGCGGGGGCCCCCTGCCCCCCGTGGGAGTGCTGCTGCGTTTCTGCCGCCCGCCTGGTGAGCACCCCTCCTCTGTGCCCTCCCAGGCTGTCTGGTGGACAAGAAAGGAAAGATCCTTATCCCTGGCATCAACGAGGCAGTGGCCCCCGTGACGGAGGAGGAGCTGGAGCTCTACGACCAGATCGACTTTGACCTGGAGGAGTACGCCAGGGACGTGGGGACGGAGACTCTGCTGCACAGCTGCAAGGTGGGCGCCCCCCCCACCCACAGCCTCCCACCAGGCCCTGTGCTGGGGGCTCCCATGGGCAGGAGCCAGGGCTGCCGGCAGAGATCAGGAATCTGCGTGTGTCCCCGAGTCCTCAGGTGGTCCTGACGCTGGAAAGCAGCACGTTGCCAGGCTTGGAATTGGAAGGAGGAGGTTTTTAAAAATGTCACGTGTTGACTTTTGGCAACTCAGGAGCTGGAGAACGTACACAGAGAACACACGGTAGCAGCAGCTTCTGCCTGATTTGCGTCTGCGAAGTGATGTTTTACCGCTGGGCACAGAGATGATTGAAGGTGTCCCCAACAGCTGAGGACCACGGTGAAAAGCATTGGCTCAAAGTAGTTACTTAACTATGAAGAAAAAATTGTGTTGGGATTTTTCTCTTAATTAGTCTAGTTCTTGGCTTGTGTGGCACGAGTGTGCGTTTACATCTGATGTCGCTGTTAGTAGAATTGCAGCTACAGACCCTGGGGTACAAGAGGGATGTGGCCAGGCCCAGCCCGTGAGTTTCATCTCTCCAGGAGACAGATGGGCAGAGAAGCGTGACAGTGTGGAGGCCACTCCAGGGCCAGGGGAGGCTGGTAGGGGTCAGCAGGGGTGAAGGCCAGGGCAGGGCGCAGGGAGCCCAGCTGGTCGTGGGGTGGACTAGCCCTGGGCAGCCTGGGACTTGGACTGAAAGGCCCGGTGTGCAGGCCCGTGGTGTCCCGAGGAGCACGTGTGCTGTCCTGGAAGATGGCGGACGTGATGGGTTTGAGATGAGCCCTCCCTGGTGGGCAAGTGGCGGCAGAGGCGATGCGGGTCAGAGCGGGGACAGTGAGGCGGGAGAGCAGCTGGGCCGCTGCAGGGGAGAGCCTGGAGCTGGGGGTGTGGCATGGGGTGGGCCTGGGGGCATATGGAAGCAGGCCACACGGGGGAGGGTTGGTGGGCCCGACTGGAGCGGGAGTTTGCAGGTGGCACGGGGGCGCTGCTGGCAGGGGGACCACTGGCAGGAGGGGCCTGAGGCCAGGAAAGAGTAGTCCAGGGCAAGGGTGTGTCTGCGAAAGCTGGTTCCAAACAGACTCCTGTTGTCGTTTCCTGCCTTGTTGCCTAGCAGTTAGCGTCTATGTGGGAGGTGTTTTCCTTTCCGACCACGAGTCTCCCTTCGCATCTCACTGACCCTGTCTGGTTCACAGATGGGAAGTCCACACATGAGGTGGCTGAGTCTCTGAGGAGCCCGGAGCCACGTCACCTTTCTCCTTGCCAGCCTGTCGTTCAGGTGGCCATGTGGCCTCTTCAGACTTGTCTTGTGCCACTGCTGGGGCACAGTGGGCGTGAGAGGCACTAGTCTCAGGCACATGTGTAGGAGACGAGGGCCTGCTCTGGGCCAGTCCCCTTGGCAGAAGGTGACGATGCTTGTCGTGGTCCCTGGGCCCAGGGCTCCGTGGATGGTCCTGGCTCTGCTCCCGCAGGATCTCCTCCTGCATTCCGTTCCCCTGGGGGGCAGGAAGCTCACAGATGGCCTGCGCCGTGCTGCCCTCTCTCTCCTGGTTCCTGGTGCCTCTGGCCCTGCAGGAGCTCTGATCTAGGCGGGCTCATGACTTGCCTTCAATTCTGCGGGGCTGGTGGGAACCCCGTGGCTCTCCTGGCCACCAGCAGTGAGGCCGGGAGACGCCACGCTTGAGGCTATGGGAGTGTGACAGAGCCCTCGCACTGTGCTGTGTCAAAGCAGGTTCCAGAGCACATTCGGGGCAGGCTCGTGTCTCAGCCCTCCTGGGTCGGTACTTGATGCCCGTGATGGTGTGGACCCTAGGCCGTGGGCCGCCTGGTGGAACTTCTCAGATGCCACTGCCGTTTCCTTCATAAGCAGACAGTGTTGTCCCCTGACTCCTTTTCTTGTTTTCTGCAGAAAGACATCCTGATGCACCGATGGAGGTACCCGTCCCTCTCCCTTCATGGGATCGAAGGCGCCTTTTCTGGGTCAGGGGCCAAGACCGTGATTCCTAGGAAAGTGGTTGGCAAGTTCTCCATCAGGCTCGTGCCCAACATGACTCCAGAAGTCGTCAGCGAGCAGGCATGTGAGGGAGCTGGGACGTGGGTGGGGACGGCTTCTCCACAGTGGACTCAGAGCATGAAGACTTTCAGGAGGGCACTGAACCCCAGACCTACACTTCCCTACTTCTTGACTCCTGGCAACCCCATAATTGCCTAAATAAGCAGTTCAGAAACTGATCAGAGATAAAGGCCATATAAAAAGCATCACCTGTGACCTTTGTCACTGCTGAGACATGCTAAAACCTGACCCTTGACCTCATCGTAAGGCTTCTGGGCAGATGCCAGCTTCGGGCCAAGTATGTTACTGGGAGAACCCACAGGAGCTGCGTCTGGGCCAGTGTGAGGAGTGGAAGGGCGTGATTCCAGAAGGGGAAAATCCCAGAGGGGGCAGTCACCCTGCCCTCATCTGAGATTTCCTGGAGAGATGGCATCAGAGACTTCCTTATTGCAAGAAAACTGAAGCCTGAGCTTCTCTCATCAGATGTGCCCCAGTCGGCTCCAGGCTCCACTCTTGGTCTGCATATGCTGATTAATGTAAAGCACATCAAGGGATGTTTTTTAAAGACTTGATTTAAATATCATCCTGTGGAAACATCTGTAAAGGGTAGGTTGCTTGAATGAAAGTGTACCTTTTAGCTTCAAATTGTTGGATTTTGTTTCTTGATAAAATCCCTTATTTTGTTACCACAGTCATGCTCAGTGTTGCGCAGCAGGAAGCGAGAAACGAGATCCGTTGTGGACTCTGTAAACTGGTGTAGACTTGTTGCGGGCCCCGTTCAACCCCCCTCTATACCCCCCTGCAGAGGGACCTCAGCACCGGCGCAGAGGCCAGACTACAGTGTGTCGTGTCTCGTTTGTGACGCAGGTCACGGGCTACCTGACGAAGAAGTTTGCCGACCTGCATAGCCCCAACAAGTGCAAGGTGTACATGGGCCATGGTGGGAAGCCCTGGGTGTCTGACTTCAACCACCCTCATTACATGGCTGGGAGAAGAGCCTTGAAAACAGGTGAGACTTCTCCCTGGGGATGCAGGCAAGGGCCCTGAGGAGAGCCCCCAGGGTGGGGCCATGCCAGCCGCCCACTTGGGGAGCGTGGCTGCCGTCCCCGAGCCACACCTGGGGTTTGGACTCCTGTCGCTGGGTAGTAGGTGCTGCGGGTCCCCAGCCTTGCCGCCTGAAAGCTCACCGTGTCTTTTACTCTTCTCCCCCAGTGTTTGGTGTCGAGCCCGACCTGACCAGGGAAGGTGGCAGCATTCCTGTGACTTTGACCTTTCAGGAGGCTACGGGGAAGAACGTCATGCTGCTGCCTGTGGGCTCCGCGGACGACGGCGCCCACTCCCAGAATGAGAAGCTCAACAGGTGAGGCTCTGGGTCCTGTGTCCTGCCCCTGCGTTCGTTTCCTCATGGCTGCCCCTGAGAGACCCGTGAGCGCCTGGGTGTGCCCTCCCTCCTCCTCCCTGCTCGCCTCCTCCCTCTCCTCCTCCTCCCTCCCCCCACTCCTCCCCTTCTTTTCCTTTCCTTCTTCCTTCCTCCCCGCCTCCTTCTTCCCCACCTGTCTGGCTGCTTTGAGAGGAGAGCAGGAGGGGGCAGGGAGGCCGCCCAAGGCAGTGCTCTGCTTGCTGCCGTCTCGTCTTCAGGGAAGCGAGCACCTCCAGCTGGAGGCAGCGACAGGCCCCGCGCAGGGGCGGTTCTTCACGCAGGGTTCAGCCAGTGCCCGTGTTTGTCTCGGGACATCATCTAGGACTCCTAAAGAAACTCGCGCTTCGCCTGTTTGGAAAGTCAGTGTCTTCGCTGGTCCCAAGCGCCCTCTCTATGTTTCTGGCTGATGCAGACATGAGGCGGGCTCTTCCGCCAACAGGGTGGAAGGTGTCCCCGAGTTAGCACCGTAAGGAGGAGGGTCCAGGCGGGCAGGGAGGACCCGTGGGTGATACGAAGAGCCAAGAAGGACAGCGAACAGGAGCCGTCCAGGGGTCACGGGGGTAGGACAGAGACCTGGATATCCAGGCACAGGGGAGGCCTCTTATCCAAACAAAGGGAGGGGCTATGAGCAAAGTGAGGCTTTTCTTCTTAAGTACTGGGTACTGGGTGGGACCCGTGTCTTCTGTTAGACCACGACCAGGATGGGTCCCTAGTGGGGCAGGTAGACTGAACTCACACTTGAGAACCCGGTGGCCAAATTCTCAAGGCCGGCAAACTAAGGGCCAGCAAGCCAGGACGGTGGGACTCCTGGAAAGGACGCCGGGTGCATGCCTGGACCGCTGGACAGCAGCCGACACAACGGGCTCTTCTTCTCCATCAGGCTGAACTACATAGAAGGAACCAAAATGCTGGCTGCCTACCTGTACGAGGTGTCCCAGCTGTAGGCGTGAGGAGCGCCGCCCTGCCCCGCCGCCCCGCCGCTCGGGACGGTGCAGCTCAGCGCTCTCCTCGCCCTCTCCTCCGGCGCATGCCGAGTGACCATGCCACGTTCCCGGAGGTGGGCGGCGCGAGGTCCAGGCGAACAGCCAGGATCCAGCACGCACCTGCGGGGTGCGGCTGCCGGCCAGCTGGGCTGCACGGAGCCCTCGGTGCGGGCCGGCCCGGCCCTGCCTCCCGACTCGGACGCGTGCTCTGGGGAGACTTAGTCGGGGGCACCCGGCGCCTCCCAGGGCCACCCTTCTGATCCCTTGGCCCCGTGTGGGTTCTGTCCTGCTCGCACGACCCGAAGCCAGTACCGGTGTCTCCTGTCTTCTCTTTATTATGATTCTTCAAAACCTAAACTTAACTGGAAGGATTATTTGTTCTCAGTACGTGCTGTCAAATAAAAAAGTAGCAATGCAGCCTCTGGGAGAGTTCCTGCCCGTCGGACTCACTGTGGGGTACCCTGTCCTGTGCGGGGGGCACTGGGGGGGCGGGGAGGGCCCGGCACCTGCCTTCTCTCCCCAGCGCACACAAGGAAAGGCAGAGTGGTGGTGCTCTTCCCTGGGTCCTCCCACCCGACACTGAATGAGGCAGGATGGTGACACAGGAAGCGGTTCTGAGAGCCCTGGGTTCTCTGCAGTGTGTTTGGAAGCCCCTGTCCCCTGCAGCCTCCAGCTTCCTCCCAGCCTCCCCATGCCTCCCCCATCTGACACCACTCGCTCACCGGGGACACTCATGTGGCTCAGTCTCTGAGCCACCATGCTTGGGGTCTTTGCACCTCCACTCTGGTTCCTTGTCAGGGCGTAGAGTCGTGCGGCGTGGACAAGACTGCGCTCTTGTCACAAAGCATTGCCAAAGCTGCTTTGTGCCGGGGGTGGCCTCGGACGTGCAGAATCCAAAGCTCGCCCTGTGCCGCCACTCCCCTGCGGGCAGCTGGCCCCCCACCGAAATACAGCCACCCGGTCTCCTGTAGAGGAAGGCGGAACTCAGCGGGCCACATCCTCGACCCAGAAGACGACAAGCTCAGAGGAGCCTTCCCAGCCTGAAGGAACTTGAGTGTCTCCACGTGCCGGAGGGAAATGCAAGTTTGTTCCGCCCTTGTCACTTTCAGGAACGGCGCCAGGAAAAGATGACACACGTGTCAGAATCCTTAATTACGAGCATTAGTGAGGACATAGGCCACTGTGACCGGAGCCTTTGTGGCTGTGGCCATTAATGTGTTTCTCCTTGTCAAGCCCGCGCAGGTAGGCCAGGCTGGCACGGCAGCTCCTCTCTCCCCGGGGCCTGATCTCCTCTGCTCTGTGTCGTCTCCTGCTCCGCGGTGGCCATTCCAGTTCCAGCGGCCCGAGCCGCATCTCAGCCTGTGCTTTCAGGCGCGATGCAGGCCAGCCCAGTTCCCTCTGCGTCCTCTTACTCTCAGGAGGTCACGTGGCCACTCCTAACCGCCCGGCGGGGGCGGGGGGGGTGCGCGCAGGAAATGGGTCTGGCTTCCGTTGCCATCGCTCCGTGGGTCAGGGAATACATACTGGGAATTGCACCGTGATTCTGCCACGACGTTCATCCCAAGGCCATCAGAGAGAAAGACTGCATAGCCTCAGATAGGGAAGGACTCATGGAGAACGCTTGGTTAACTCACTCTCGGAGAAAACTCGAATGGTGTCATCCTCTGCAGCTTCAGGAAGCGGGCTGCATGGGGATCAGGAAACGAGCCCGATCAAATGCTGTTCACACCTTTCTTTCTTTCTTTGCCTTTGCACCGTTTCCCGTCAACATGTGACAGTGGGCCAATTTGGGCTCTCAAGAGAGCTCAGTACAGTCCATTCCTTTCAAGTTCACAGCCAGGTTCATAAATCACCTGTGTTTGGGAGAATCTGTTACTCTGTGGCCTACGACAATGGCCCCTGTAGGAATGCTGCATAAAAAGATGGCTTGCAGAATTCTGCTGGCCTCTGTTCTTTGCAATGGCCTTTGTGGAGAGGCGGCTTCAGCTGGGCTGCATGGAGCAGTGTTCACTCGAGAGGGAACAGTGTGGACTTTGACCCAGGTGTTAGTGGACACAGTCCTGTGGCCCCACCTGTGCATGTGGGAGAGATCAGGGATCAACCCTGCCCACAATAACCCTTGGAGATCTGGATTCACGGTCTGGTGTGTTTAGAAAGATCTCTCTAGGTGATTTGGAAACAGCCCATTAGCGGTGGAACTGTGTCTCCCACCAGCCCCCAAGTGTATAACTTGAAGTCCTAAGTCCCAGTATCAGAATGTGATCTTACTAGGATATAGGGTCCTTGCAGATGCAATTAATTATGACAAGGCCACACTGGAGTAGGGCCGGCCCTAATCCAACATGACTGATGTCCTTGCGGAAGGGGGACATTTGGACACAGACACACATACGGGGGGAAGGGCATGTGAGAATGAAGGTGGAGATCGGGTGGTGTGTTCGCAGGATGAGGAATACCAACCACCAGGTAGCTGGGAGAGACCAGGAAGAGGTTCTCCCTCAGCCCGTAGAAGGCACCAATCCTCCCAACACCCTGATTTTGGGCTTCCAGGCTTCGGTACTGGGGGACAATAGATTTCTGTGATTTAAGCCTCCCCCAGTCCTCGGCATGTCTGCCGCAGCCCGGGCGGCCTATAATGCTGATCGAGCTCACATGTAGCTTTTGTCACAAGGGCCCCCGAAGACAGAGCAGAGGCTCTACACCTGCCCCAGGTCACAGGCTGTGTTCCTGTTGCTTCTGTCTCATCTCTGCTGGCCTTGGGCACACACACTTGCTTCCCTTCAAGGGCCATCCCTCCACGAGCACTCCAAGAAGCACCTGTTGATGCAGCCTGAGCTGCCCTGTTGGCCTTCAGTGACATCAGATGACTTCCAGGCCACTGCCTCATCCCATTATCTGTGCGTATGAGATGCATTGTCTCTTCCTGGGCCTGCACACTGAATGAGTGTCTCTGAAGCATCTTTGTTTTCCGAATGTGAATGGTCCACTGTAGCAGCCTTGTCTGCCTGTCTGTCCCGGGGCAGGGGTGGGGGCGCAGACAAGCAGTGTGCACAGAAGTAGTGAATACAGCCTCTGAGGACCTGGATAAGACCATCTCTTCCCCTTTCCTTTGAGGTCCGGGGAAATTGCTAGAGGCTACAGATGCCAGCCCAATGGATCCCAAACTCGGAAGAGTGGTGAGTAGACCCTCTGATGACCTGAGTCCTGAGTCCGGAGCGCTAGACCTCGTTTGCCTAAGGAGCGTGTGTGCACGGCCAGTGCGGCCGGCAGGTCGGATGGATGCCCACGGGGTCCTTGCAGTGAGGCCCCCGAAATGTGCCTAGGTGCTCCCGCGGGGGAGGGGGTGTGTGGAAGGTTCTCCAGGGCTTCCGCAGCGCCTGGCATGCGGTTGCGCGGGAAGCGTGGAGCCCGCCGTGGGCGTGGATGAGGCCCAGCAGCTGCTCCAGGTGGGGCGAGCTGGGATGTGTGGCGGGCGCTTTTCTCTGCTCTTTTCCTTCCACCGAAAGCATGTTCCTACTGAGTGTTCCTAGCCGTTGAAGGCAGAAGGCAAGGTGCCACCTGTAGGGGAAGACGGTGGATGTGGAGAGCCCTGCATGTGCCTTTCTCGCTAAGCCCTGAACTCTCCCCGCCGCCCTCACCGTCTGCGGGCCTAGTTTGGGGTGGGGGCCCAGGACTCTGCATTTTATGGGTGTCATTCAGTGATTTTTCGTGTATCCACAGATACGTGCGACCATCACAGTTGATTTTAGGATGTTTTCACAAGCTCGTTAAAGAAGTCCTGTACCCTGAACAATGACTTCCCCGTTCCCTGGTCCCTGCCTCCAGCCCCGGGCAGCCCCACATCTGCTTGGATCTCTTTTAGGGCTCCTTATAGGGCAGGTGGGCAGCTGTTTAACAGGAAGCACTTCTAAGGAAACAAAAATAAAAATGTATGATTCCAACAAGCTCCAAATTCCACTTTTGAGTGTAGAGGGCAATCAGGTGAGATTTTCCGGGATGCTGGCTTTGGAGCACAAGTGGGGCGGTGGGTGTGATTCTGATGAATTCCTGCTTTGCAGTTGGGGTGACTCTGGTGACGGCCCTGGGTGTTCTGGTCAACTTCCTTTGTGGCCCCGCATAGCCGCAGGTGGGAAAAGGTGTCCGTGCATGCACCACTGCCATGGATTCTCGAAGTCTGTATCAGGTTGTCTGTCTTCAGTTTGCAGGGCTTTGGGAGAAAGGGAAGTTTGAGTTCTTAGTGATTCCAAGTCAGAGGGTGGGTGAAAATTGGAAACATTAGTTTGGAGAGTTGTAGCTAGTTATTGGAGGGAACAAGAATTGGGGACCCAGCCTGGTTTATAGTGGGTAACTGTGGATAGGGCAAGGGCCTGATGGTGGGTCTTCCACTGTTCTTCGCGGGAATACGGTATTCCCTCCGCCATCACCTGCATTTCTAGCAGACGTCACAGTACGATTAATTCGTTCGTGAAGTAAGTCTAGTTGCATTACACTTGGCCTGCTTATTTATGGAAGTGCAGCAAGAACTGCAATTGGTCATAGGCTCTTTTTAAGTCTGCTTCACTAGAACTTTAAATAAAGAATCTCAGAATAGACTTTTAAAATCTCTCTAGACCAGAAAGTCAAGTCAAGGACTTGCCATCATTCTTCATCTCCAAGTACCTATAGATCTGGGCAAATCCCTCCCTTCTTGAGGCTTCCCAATATCTATTTTAAAATAATAATTCTTTTATTGGATATAGCATGCAGTGTTATTTTCAAGTATACAGTGTAATGATTCAGCAGCCCTAGGTACTGTTCAGTGCTCCCTGTGATAAGCATAATTACCAGGGTTATTACCGTGGTTTTTATTAATTACCGTGGTTATTCCGTAGTTTATGCTGTACTTTTCATCTGTCAATTATTTATTTTGTAACTGGAAGTTTGTACTTCTTAATCCCTTTTATAAATTTCACCCATCCCCCACCTCCCCTCTGGCAACCACCAGT